ACTTTTTTCTGGAATGTGTCCTATTTCACCTCCGGAAAACTCCTTACTGTTTGTCTTAGTTTGTTTTCTGTTGCTATAACTGAATATCTGAGGCTGGGTGATTCATTTTAAAAATCCCAGCACTTTGGGAGGCCAACGCAAGAGGATTGCCTGGGTCCAGGGGTTCAAGACCAGCCTGGGCAACTTAGTGAGACCTCGTCTCTACAATAAATCAAAAATTAGCCAGGCATGGGTAGCGTGCACCTGTAGTTCCAGCTACTTGGAAGGCCAAGGTAAAAGGATCCCCTGAGCCCAGCAGGTCTATGCTGGAGTGGCTGTGAACGTGCCACTGCACTCTAGCCTGTGTGATGGAGTGGGACTCTAACTCAAAAAACTAAAAAGAAAAAGAAAAAGAAAATTATTTCTTACAGTTCTGGAGGCTGGGAGGTCCAAGAACAGAGGGCTGCATCTGGTGAGGGCCCTCTTGCTGGTGGGGACTTTCTGCAGAATCCTGAGGTGGTACAGGACATCACATGGCAAAAGGGACACACTGAGAGCCAACTGGCTTTTGCAACAGACCTACTCTAATGATAACTAACCCACTCTTGTGATAACCCATTAATCCATGAATGGATTAGTCCATTCATAAGGCTAGAGTCCTCATGACCTATCACCTCTTAAAGGCTCCACCTCTTAATACTATTAAACTGGGCATTAAGTTTCAACACGTTTTGGAGGGGGCAAACATTCAAACCATAGCACTGTTCCCTAAAACTGGACTCCAAAGTCACCTCCTCCATGGAGTCTTCATGTAATCAGGCACAACTGGTGGCTTCTTTCTCCGGGTTTCCATAGCACTGTCTACCTATCTCTGTATTAATATGTCTGTACTGCACTGAAGTTATTTGTACAAACATTGTCACTCCCACACAAAGTAATAGGTGCAGTGATTATTCAGCTACCTCTTGTGGCCACTTCACATCTTCTTGGCCAACTTTTTACTTTAGCCCCAGCTACATCACCTTCTCTCTCTTTCTCTCTCTCTCTCTCTCTCTCTCTCTCTCTCTCTCTCTCTCTCTCTCTTTCTGCTTAGCAGGATCTCTTCTGCTGTTTAGAAGTCACCTATGGTACCCACCTAGCTCCTTTGATACATTTGCAAACCTGGAAGTGCCAGAAACATCACAACAGATGAGGGCAACCCTTGACCAACAGAGGATAAGAAGCAAGGAATGAGTTCCCAGGGAGGACAAGTCAGAAGTTCATTTTCACAGCTTTTCAGAGGGCTCCTGGTAAGATCAAACCTCAGTTGCCCAATGTGGTCATTTGCTCTTATCTCCCTCTTGGGGTGGCTTCCCTTCCAGCCCCGTTTCCTTGGGATCACTCCCCAAAATAAACACACTGCAGGCAATTTCTGTTATTGGAATGTGTTATCTGGAAAAACTCACAAAGACAAATTGGAAGAACATTATTCTTTGGGTCAGAAAACTGGGCTCTAGTTTTAGTTCCATCTCTGTCTTGGACAAGACAACCTCTAAGACTTTGATTTTGTTGTCAATAAAATGGGAACAATCTTCCATTCCTCACAGCACTCATAGGGGAAAAAAATGAAAGTGTTTGTGGAAAAGATTTATAACTGCAAAGCACTCTATAAATACTGTTATCATTAAAGTTTAGGAGAAATTCCTTCACTATTCACATCCCTTCCTAGATTACCTCATCCATTTCTAATGCTTCAACACATCAATGCCATCAAGACATGTCTTTAATTTAGACCTGTGCTATCTAATATGGTAACCATAGCTGCCTATTGAGTTCTTGAAATGTGATTACTCTGAATTGAAATATGCTGTAAGTTAAAAATGACATTGGAATTTGAAGATAGAATGAAAAAAAGGGTATAACATATCTCATTAATAATTCTTTATTTTTATGAAATGTTGAAATAATCTTTTGGATGTATTGGGTTACATTAAATATATTATTAAAATTAACTTCACCTCTTCTATCTCTTTTATGTGTGGTTCTTGGAAAATTTAAAGTGTGGCTTGTATTATATTTCTATTGAGCGGTACAATAGACATCTGCTCAGAAGAGAAGTCCAGATCTGATTACCCAACTGCTGCCTTGACATTTCCCCTTGCCTTTCCAACACCCAAAACAATCCTTCAGAAATTAAACTCAAAACTTTCCCCTCCCTCCAGACTGTTTGTAGCCTCTTGCCATCTCCTCCTACCTCTTATCCCCTCTACTTCATTGAAGCCAGAGTGTTCTTTGCAAAACACAAATGTGATCACATCACGTCCCATTGCTCTTAGGATTAAAACTAAAATCCTCAGCCTGTCTTGCAGGCCCTGACTGTATCACCTACCTCCCCATCTTCATCTAACACATGGCCCATTCCCACTCTCCAGTTGTTCCTGGGAGGTATCCAACTCCTTCCAGTCTTGATACTCTTATACTTGACTTCCTTCTGCCTGGAATACTCTACCGAACTCTTTCCCAGAAAACATCCAACATTCTTCAGATATTGTTGTTAATACCATTGTTCTCAGGGAAGACTTGCCTGGCCCCTAAAACTTGCATGTGGTGACACTTTATCACAATTGTAATGAATAACTTGTGTTATCTATTCAATGTTGCTACTTCTCCAGACAGTAAGCACCATCATACCTATATTGGTTTCTCAACTGTGTAGCCCAGGGCCTAACACAGACACTTAATAAATAATTACTGATGCATAAGTGTATGAAAAATGAATGAAGAACTGCCAAATGAGGTATAATCATAAAGTGATATCATCACATTTTTAAAGCAAACATGCCAGGTACAAATATCTAAATAAATGTTGTATTTTAAATGGTCACTTTTGGAAGCAAATATATTTATTCCAACAAACTACTCAAAACAATTTAGTAGTCCCTGATGTGTGGGATGATGTTGGTACTAGTTTACAAACCATGCAAGAAAAAAGTCTCGCTATTTTTTCTGGATTATAAACTACTTTATCATACACCTTACTCGTTAAACTTAGTTTTTCATGATTTCAGAGTTGTTATCAAATAGTATGCTCTAAAGCAGCACTGTCCAATAGAACTATCTGCAGCGATGGAAACGTTCTATGTTGTTCTTTTAACAACTTTAGTTGTTCTGTGTTGTTCAGCAAAGTAGCCACCAGTCATGTGTGGCAATTGAGCACTTGAAATGTGGGTGGTGAAACTGAGGGACAGAATTTTTTATTCTATCTAATTTTGATTAACCTAAATTTATTTAAAGAGCTGCATGTGACTAGTGGCTATCAAATTAGACAGCACAGCCTAAAGCCATCGTCAGAAGACAAGTTCTTGAAATATTCTGCCCACAGTTTATGCCAGGAATCTTATGAAAATTAGTGTAGAACCTCAACAAATGGCTAGTTTGCATATATAGCAGTATCTCTGTGCAAATAAATCAGTGATATTATTATGAAGATTCACTTCAGATGTCAATGTCTGCTCTTCAAATACTCATGCCTTTTATTTTAAGATCATCAAAGACCTTGTTCCATTTTGCTAGACCAATTATAACCACACAGAAGCACAACTGGCTTGGAGAAGACCACTGTGAATGGGAAGGTCATCCATAGCCACAAGTATTCTTGGGAACACAGAGCTCAAGTTTGTCAAGTCTGCCTCCTAGGCAGTCCTCCTCTCCAGTGATGCAATACTGAACATGCAAAAAGGTCAAATCAAGAACGCAATCATGTATTTTTGGAGCTGGGAAACAAACAGCAGAACCAAGATGTCACGAGGCTTCAACTGTGAGTGAAGTTTTGCCAAGAGAACCAGCGCCACTCAACATTAGAAGGCAAGAACCCATTGATAAGGAGATAGCATCAGCCTTCTGTCCTGACAAAGGGGCTGCTGTGCATAGCCCCACTGGGTTGAACTTGAGCAAAGGACGCCAATGTGACACCCACGCCTCTGCTATACAGTAAGTGGCTTGGGTGGGTGGCAAAAGTTTCAGAAACCTGGCATACACATCTATCCTCCCAGGCTCACAGCTCACCATCTTCAAGAACAGAATATACTTTTACACATGTGTTCCTGGTCTCCATGGTCAAGTTGACTCTTGGATGTATCACTGCCCACAAGTACATGCATGCTCATTTGCATATTGGTATCCTCTGGGCCCTTGTAGATTTGTTTACTGTAATTTCAGTGAAAGTTTCAAATAGTGTATTTACAATATAAATGTATATTTACTGCATGCTTTTAATTAATAGATTAAAGAAAGTAATGACCATATTACAAGGTACTTGTGGGCTATTCATGCCTGAAATTTTACTTTGATGAATTGGAAACAAAGCAGAAATACATCACAGATAGTTATTGACTTCAATTATTTTAATGATAGTAACTAGTTCTTCAAATGCAGAAATTTCACAAGAATTTTACAAAAAATTCACCCACAAATTCATTTCATATGACTATACTTGATACATGCATGTGTTCTCTGATTCATTTTCATTGATTTTGTTGCTTTCTTGAATATATCTGGAGATGAGAAACACTTCTTCTCCACAATCTCTGGCTTTCCAAAGTGCTTTATACAAAGCTGTGTAACACATTTTGTAATTTTGGTGATAGTGATTATAATGGCATAAAGGGAACAATGAGTGCAGTGTTGTAATTCACCCACAATGAAGCAATGAATGACAAATGGAAACAGTACTAGAACATAGAATACTGGCACAGTACAACACAGATCTGGATGAGGTGAATAAAGTATTCATCTCTGGCAGAACATACATTGGATGAGTTGCTGAACAATCATAAAGGCAATTATCTATCCACCACTAATTGATTCAAGGCGTTTCTCTTCCAGCATGAGCATCCTTATCCCTCATCCAGTGAATATTGACTTGTTCCTGGGCTGCTAGAACCTCCTCCTGTGTGCTCTGATCTACCTTCCCCTGCCCCACCCTGATCCCTTCTTACACACGCGCGCACGCGCGCGTGCACACACACATGTATTGGACTTACCTTAACATTTTCTGGTAATGCTTTGTTCTGGGTCAGCCCCACAGCAATCAAAGCTGTGACAGCCATGATGGAGGAGAAGCCAAGGATGACCAAGATATTTCTGGAGCAAAATCTCTTCACGCTGGAATCTAAAACAGAAGAGAAAACATCAAAAAACCACAAACACTGATATTTCCTCCCCTTTCTGCCTGGTCTTATAATGCCTATCTGGAGACATCAGAGAAGATAAAAGTCAATCTTTATCAATGTGGCACTTGCAAAGTAATTGGGAAATAATTTGTGTGAACTGTGACAGGAGCCAACATTGGGTTAGTGATTGTGGCAGGAAGAATGGACCAAACTAGGTCAGTGATCAGCTATGGAATGAGGAGAGATAAGAATCTCAAGCTGGCAGCTTGATATAGCTATATGACCTATCTAAAGATATAGCAATCTATATCTTTAGATAGGTCATATAGTTAGATCAAAGTACAAGTCACAAATAACAAAAAACAAGGATAGCCTTCCTCATTGTAAAGCTCTACCACAAATGATGGAGATGTTAAAAAAAGTATTAAGAATGTATCATCGGCCAGGCTTGGTGGCTCGGCCTAGCACTTTGGGAGGCCGAGGCAAGTGGATGGCCAGAGCCCAAGTGTTCTAAACCCACCCGGGTAAATTGGTGAGAACTCGTCTCTACAATAAATCAAAAATTAGCCAGGTGGGGTAGCGTACACCTGTAGTTCCAGCTACTTGGAAGGCTGAGGTGGAAGATCGCCAGAGCTCAGCAGGTCGAGGTTGTGGTGGCCGGGAGCGTACCACTGCACTCCAGTCTGGGCAACAGAGTGAGACTCCAACTCAAAAAAAAAAAAAAAAAAAAGAATGCATCATCAAATATCAAATCCCACCACTCCATGGCATTTCCTGGCTTGTCGTACACTTTGCATTTCAACCACCCTTTAAATGGTAAGTGTTAGTAACAATGAGAAGTTTTGGGTCCTTTCTGATCACAATTGACATGATCTTACCTATTCTGTCCTTAGTCTCATTCTGTAACAGGACATAAAAGAGTTCCAACAACAGAATTATATAAAAAGCAAAAGTAACTTTGATCAAATATGAACAGATTGTAAGAGGAGATGAGTGGGAAATTAAATGATTTCACCATTCCTGCCATTCTGAAAACTCAACCTCTTCCCTTCTCAACACCCCAAACTATCTCCCAACTTTTCTCTTAGGCTTTGGAGAGGAAGGATGAAATAATGTGATCATCAAAGCACATGGAAATGAGATGGGCTCCCCAGAAGAGTCTACACTTCTCTAAGAACAGAAAGTGGGGCCAAAACAGCTGAAAGGGGCGACCAGTCTCCCGCCCTTTCCCTCTGAGCCTGTGGCAGCTGCTGGGCACTGAGATTGGAGTTCTTCCTCCAGCCTTTGAGAAGAAGTCTGGACGTAATCCAAAAGACTTTAACCATGTGGGTCTCCAGTCCGTCTCAAGCCCCAGAATTTTGAACCTCTCTATACCCATTAAAACAAACAATAAAAACTTAGGAGAAAAAGCTTTAGCAACACCATTATCTATTGCTTCCAAACAAGGAACAGCAAATGAAATACACAGCACGTCCTTTTTCTCCCTTCCCGGAAGGAGCTTCCATTCTGTGTTCAGATGCCTGCCTCTCCCAAGCTCAGGGGCAGACCTGTTGGGTCTGTGTAATCTTATTCTCTCGCCAGTTATTAGTTCAACATGGGTACGTACATAATTATGACCCATGAGACCCTGGAGGAAGTCTGCTGGGGCAAGTCTAAGAACAAAGGAAAACATTCTTCATCTTCAGACCCTATAGTGCCTGGAGAGATTGACACCCAATAATGGCAGAGCAAGGTACGAGGAGAACCTGATCCTTGATGGTACTTTGAGCTGCTAGATCGACCGACCATGAGTCCATCCTCCCATAAGACATGCTTAAAAGTTAGAGTCAGGACTTTAATTACTTGAAGTCAAAACATTCTGATACAACTGACATGACAGAAATGTCCCCCTTGATGCTAGAGTCCTGGAATTTGGAAACGACCCCTTTAAGTACTTCCGCCTCGGTTCCCAAAGTTGTGATGTTGACAAACAGTTCTAACTGGCATATGCTTTAGGTGAACAGTTATAAATACAATAGCCAAGGGCAGCACTGTCAACTGGATATAAAATCCTAAGCCCCCCCACCAATTGAACAGATCCCTTTGTGGCCAAGGGGAATTAAGATAAAAACTTAGCTCCCCACCATGACAGGACAGGAGGTCAGACACCCCTCATTATGCCCCCCTTCTGGAGTTTAGACACAACAACTGACCACCATTAAGGTTAAGATAGAGATCATAAGACTGACAGAACAGACTCTTTGTGGTAATAAAGTACTAAATTACACACAGGACCCAGGGCCATGCCAAACAAGGGTTAAGTTATACACGCCCACACTTAAAGAACAAACTGTTCTAACTGCCACAAGATGTTTCTTTTTTTCTAGCAGCTAGACAAGCACTGGCCTGGAGATAAGTAATATTAAAATAATTACAATTCATCCAGCTCACAGACACCAACTAACCTAACCTCTGTTCCACCAGCCATGCCTACAACTATGATTGGATGATAGACTGATTTCAGTAACTTTCTCCTGATAAGAGACCATCCACCATGGATTGGTTGTGGCCAGTGTGCAGAGACAGTGCACCTGTGTGCCTTCATGTCCTGAAAAGACCTTTGGCAGGTAGGGCCTAATTGTAATACATTTAAATGTTAAGTGAACATGAGTCATGTGTTACAAGCATGTATGTTCAATAATGCATGCGTCAGGACCACCTTCATGAATATTCACAGCACCTCCTGTAAACTTTTGAATATGTTTAGTCAACCCATTCAGCATAAGGCCACAGTCCCCACCCACCCACACACTTCTAAGTGCCTGCCTCTGGTCTTGACAGAAGGCATGCTTCCCAGTCATGGGATGACCACCTTGCAGACTGCAACACTTTCTAAGAAATAAGTCTCCCTCTTTCTTCTTCTAAATTTGTACCATTGTGTTATTTTCTTTGCAGTCAACAGCACACGGTAACAATATTTCTTCTTTGGTAGAATTCTGAATGTTTTACTCCCTAGAGCTGTTCAAAGGGTCTATTTCGTTTCTTTGTTTTCATAAATATGACAATTTCACCATCTCATTTCAGGCATTATTCTTAGCATCCAGGTTACTATAATGAAAAAGGCTGATAAGTTCCCTGTTCTTTGGAGTTTACAGTCTGGTTAAAGAGATAAGCCAAAAAAGAAGTACATTATTGAGTGATTTCGAGTTATAAGTGCTACAAAGAAATGAAAACCAAGGAATGTGAAAGAGTGACTTTCTCCAGAGTTGGGGGTGGAGGGAAGGGTATCAAAATGAGGGTCAAGAAAACCTCTCTAAGAGAGTGACATTTGGGCTAAGATCTAGATGAAGAAAAAACACCAACTCTACGAAGGAAGTAAGAACATTCCAGAAAGAAGAAACAGAAACTGCAAAAGCCCTGAGGTGGGAACCAATGTGATGCCCCTGTAGTTGTTTCTTCCCTTCCCCAGTGAAAATATTGACTAACTCCTTATTATCACTTAAGAGTTGGACGTATACTTCTCCACATTTGCCCAGCTTTTGCAATGAAATCAATTTTTCAAGAATATATTCAAGCCCTTTACCCTAGTCTCATCAAAAATATGATAAGAATTTAGGCCAGAAAGTTTAAAATTCTTCCATACACAATTTTCAAAAATTTGTTACCCAAAAAAAGGGTGGGGGGCTTTTTTCTTTTCATGTAACCGACTAGATTGCCCAAAGAGAAGTGATTAAAATGCTATGTTTTCCATGGACTACATGACAGGCAGTTTTCAAATGTCCTGATCACACACAGGAAGTGGCAGAGTCTTCTCAGGAAAGTGGTACTAAAGGTGTGGGATCGGGTTGACACATCCAGGATGCGCTCGTAAAAGGAAACCACCAAGGTAACGGTCTAAGACTCCATACCTTCTCTGCCACCTTCCTTCCTCTCTATCAGAGTATTCCTGGGGACACATATCAGGTTGTTCTCATATTCAGGGGGTTTTAAAATCCCAGAGCTCTTTCAGATTCTGTGACTGTCACAGTAAATTTCACTATCATCCCCCTGAAAAGTCCTTCATTGACTATCGTCTCCCTGAAAAGTCCTTCATCGATTATCGTCCCCCTGAAAAGTTCTCCATTGACTATCGTTGCCCTGAAAAGTCCTTCACTGGCCTCGTGAATAACAGAAATGTGGTTTCTATCATACAATGTGAAATGGTATTTCAAAACACAATTTTACCAAAAATATCCAATGCTTCTTTTTTCCTTTGAACGGGCTCACTATTTTGGAGAGTTCAAGACGGCCACTTCCTTCTCATTTTTTTCCCTTCCTCTGATGTGACAAGTGAGAGGGCTTTCTGTTTAAAGTAAAGGAGGAAGGTAATAACTTCAACCCTTCCCTTGACAGAGACAAAACTGAGGGAAACCCAAGATTTGAGAAAAAACAGATTTCAACTAACTATGTCAGAGCAAAAAAAAAAAGCTTTGAGTTTTTTGCTTCTTATAGAAACAGCCATTATGATGTCCAGTTAGAATTCATTAGACGGAAAAGAAAAATTATTTAATTTTATCCTTAGTCCAAATTCCCAGCATCTCTACTTCCCGATAACAAAAATATAATATCTTAAAGTCTTACTCCCTTAATACACAGATTTGGGGTGTTGGCAGCTGTGGTGTGTTTCAGGAAAACCACGAAAATTTTGTGCTGCAGATCCAATGCAACTGACCAGATTCAAATTGTTTCCAACTTCTGATGGGTCACATCTGGACTAAGCTTGGCTTGTCATGCACAGAACAAAACAGCAAATGTGGACAAACACTGGCGAGCGCTGTGGTCCTTCCCGTGTTTACATGACCCAGTGACAGAACAACCCCTGGTGCTCAGAGGACGGGTCCTAATCTGGCTTGCCATTCCCTCGATCCCAGGGTCTAAGCCTCCACACCTTCTCTGCCACCTTCCTTCCTCTCCATCAGAGAGTTCCTGGGAACACATACCAGGTTGTTCTCACACTTGGGGGGCTTTAAGATCCTTTCTC